AATTATTTTCGTTGCTTAAAGTGCCATTTTCGGCAACTAAAATGGAATTAGTAGCCAAAAGTGAAAACTTTTAGCGACTAAAACAATTTAGTAGCCAAATGTATAGTTATTAGCGACTTAAAATCAATTTAGTCGCCGATTATATGGGTTTTACCGACTAAAGGTTTTTTAGTAGCCAAAAGTGACGGTTTTTGGCGACTAAAATAATTTAGTAGCCAAAAGTATAGGTTTTGGCAACAAAAAACAGTTTGGTCGCCGATTATACGTGTTTTAGCGACTAAAAACAGTTTGGTCGCTGAAAGTGAAACTTTTTGGCTACTAAAAAAATTTAGTAGCTAAAAACAGGCAATTGGCGACTAAAATTCAGTTTAGTAGCCAAAAGGGGACGTTTTTAGCGACTAAAAACAGGTTTAGTTGCCAAAACTATTTATTGTTAGGCGGAACTTATTTTTTTAGCGACTAAAAAATAATTAGTAGCCCAAAATTACAGAATTGGCGACTAAATAATGGATTTAGTCGCCAAAAGTGGCCTCAATTTTTTTTTAGTAAATAATTTATTTTTTACATAAATTATATTGAATAAAAATAATTATATCTATATATATAGTTTTATATTAATACGGGTCAATATACTATATAAATAATATATATTGCATATATATTCATGTGGTGTTGTAGTGGCATAGTTAAGGGAGTGTGTTGTTAAAGGTTTAGAATGTAGGACAGTTTGGTGGTTCGAATCTCAGAAAAAACAAAAAAGTTGGTTTTTTTTTTTTTCACAGAAGCACCTTTGGCGACTAAAATTGTTAGTCACCAAAAGTCTTTATTGTGGCGACTAAACGGTTTAGTCGGCGATTCAGTGAGTATTGGCGACTAAAGGATTAGTCGCTAAATGTATGATTTTCAAAAGTGTAAATCACTATTGGCGACTAAAACTTTGGTCGCTAAAGACTTGTTTTTTGCCGACTAAAAAAGTTTTAGTCGTCAATACCTCCAGCGACCATGTATTCGCGACAAAAGCGGCGACTAAAAATTTTAGCCGGAGAAACTAAAAAGTCGAATTTTGGCGACTAAAAATGGACTTTTAGCGACTAAAAATTTAGTCGCCAAAGATGATTTTTTATTGTAGTGTTGTCTTCTTCTCTCTAAGACATGCATAATTAGATATGTATATTTGTCTTTCTATATGAATGTATACACACACCCATATATATGTAGGCATATCTACTAGTCAAATACTTGCAGTGGCGGCTCCAGAAATTTTAATCAGGGTATTCATTAAGTAACTTAAAATCTAACAACTATATTAAAAAAACAAATATAAAAGAGAACTCTAATATATTAATATTAAAGTTTTGACAAAAAACAACTTGCAATTAGATAAAATATTACAATTGCCCTCGATGAGATTTCATATTTTGAAACGTTGCATAATCTCCTCATTATCAATGCTATGAAATACATCTCTTTCAATTTATGGAACCAAACAATCATTCATCCACTGATCTCCCATTCGGTTACGCAAATTACTCTTTATATACTTCATTGCTGAAAAACTTCTTTCCACTGTTGCCGTCGCGACAGGTAGAGTCAATGCTAATTTCACAAGCAAATAGACTAATGGATATATCACATATTTATCTATCTCCACCAACTTTATAGCAAGATCACCAACTCCTTTAAGTTCTAAAAAGTCTTCACTTAAGCGCATATCAACAATGTAGTTTTGAAGTTGGATGTCAAGGACCATTAAATCTGTTGCAGAAAAATCATATGGATAGAACTCTGCAAGACGAATCAACTTATGCTTATCAAAAGCAAAGAATGATTTACTAGGATTCAAGCAAGCCATACAAAGAAGTAACTCAGTATTTGCTTCTGAAAAGCGATTGTTAAGCTCTTGAAGTTGCATATCTAAGATTGTGTAGAATAGCTTAACTTGATAATGATGTAAATTTGCAATTTGTAGAGCTTTGCGTCGTGGCCGCCCACTAACTACAAATATTTCATCCATATTTGGAATAGAAATCTCATGTTTGTTACAAAATGAAGACACTTTAGTCAATAAAGATTCTCATTCATCATCTCTCATCATCTGCAATCGTTGCTTAGATACTTTAACAAGTGTCATAGCATTGACAATATCTTGATTTTTATTTTGCAATGCTAACGACAACTCATTTTTAATCCCTAAAATATTTTTCATCAAGTGTAAAGTGAAGGCAAATTCAAAAGATAGCATTAACTTCATGATAGAACGAGCTTTAACTCTTTGCTCGGGTTGTAAGCCATCCTCTTCAATAATCTCAAGTACATCAATCGAAGAAGAGAACATCAAAATCAAGTTGATAATTGTCCCAAAATGTGATCCCCAACGTGTATCACCAGCACGTTTAAGACTAGTCTCTTGATTCAAACCTCGCCCACTTCTAAGTTCACCATTGTCTAGTGCTTCTGTTATTTTAGCAAATTGCGCATCTCTAAGAGCATCTCGTCTCTTGCAAGAGCCACCAACAACATTCACTATGTTAGCAACAGAGCAAAAAAACATCAATGTGCTTTTTAGCAACAGCTACAAGAGTCAATTGAAGTTGATGGGCAAAGCAATGAACATAAAATGCAGATTTATTCTCCCTCAAAATTAAAGCTTTAAGACCATTGAATTCACCTTACATATTGCTGGCTCCATCATAGCCTTGCCCTCGTAGTTTTGATATACTCAATCCATGTCGACAAAATAAGGATTCAATTGCTGCTTTAAGTGATAAAGCAGTTGTATTTGATACATGTACAGTACCAAGAAACCGCTCTATAACAATGCCCTTTTTGTCCACATAACGTAGAACAACTGCCATTTGTTCTTTAACTGATATGTCACGAGACTCATCAACTAAAATTGAAAAAAACTCATTGTCCAAATCCTTTATGATAACATTGATAGTCTCACATGCAGCAGCATTCACAATGTCTTTTTGAATATCATGGTGAGTTAGCTTATTATTTTTCGGAGTATTTCCCAATACAACTTTATTGATAGATTCATTATGATCCGCCAAAAATTGTAAAAGTTCAAGGAAATTTCCTTTATCACTTGAATCATCAGATTCATCATGACCACGAAAAGCCAACCCTCGACGCAAAAGGAATCGTATGCAATCAACAGTTGCATTTAAGTGAGTCCGATATTCAATTTTTTCTTGATTTGACTGCTTAAGAAAAACACTTTGAATGTGTTGCTTTTGCTTCATAAGATCTTCACACTTCTTCACAGCTTGGTTGTGAGCACTATTAACACCTCCAACATGAATTTGTAACTTGTTTTTCATATTCCAAATTTTAAATCCCTCTGTCACAAAAGTATCACATCCCTTTCCTAAATCGGGCCTAAACAAGTAACAACATAAACAAAATGATGCATCTTTTTCAATACTATATTCTAACCAATTCTTGTATTCTTTAAACCAAGCAGAATTAAATCGACGCATAACTCCACTAATATTTCTTTGAGGGAAATTGTGGCTAAGAGGTTGACAGGGTCCTTTTTGTAAATATGTTCTTCATATTTCATCCCTATCATTAGGATGATATGACAAAATTTTTGATCGTAATCCTGGATCAGAAGGAAGGTTTTTTAAGTCAACACGAATTCGCTTCGAAGAATCTTGAATGTGACTATCACCACAAGTTTCTTGGGATTGAGATGAATCTTGCACAATAGTTGATTTTCTTTTCAGAAATTTGTCCATAATTCGAGAACTAAACAAAAGAGTAGGATGCACCTAAAAATATCCACACAAAAAACAAAGCTATCTAAATAAACCATAGAAAAAAAATAACTGCAAGAGTATAAATAAATTGATTATAAAATTTCAGCTCCTATTTAATTTTTAAAACAAATAAAGTGAAGAAAATTAAAAAAATATTATACCTGATGACAACAAAGTATAATCCCCAAATATTATATTAACATGCATAACTATAAAATTAATTATATATGGATGGAAGGTTTTGTTTATAGTATCAAGTTTAAATAAATTTTAATATTATAGAGATAAAAAAATAATACCTGATGAGATATAATTCCCAAATTTCTTTTTGCCTTTTTCTTAACAATCAGTCAGCAACAGCAAAGCATGACAGCAACCACTTCATCTTCATTCAATACCAACATCTATGATCCATATTCCATGGGCAACAATGAAAGACAAAGAGGGACCACCCACAGAAAGAGAGAAGGGGGGGACCGCGAAAAGAGAGGGAGAGATTGAGAGAGACAAAACGACAGCAGCGTTGAGCCTCCCCCAAGCAGCGGATTTGTGCCCTAACTACACTTTTTGCCCTAACTAACTACACTTTTTGACTTTATTCTTCCAAGCATCAGATTCGTGTCTATATAATATATATATATATATCTCATTGCAATTCTTTTGGATTTTATTATTTGTTTAGGCAAATGGGCTAAGGGGCTAAGTGGGCTAGAGGGTTATTTGTTTTGGTAAATGGGCTAAGTAGCTAAGTGGGCTAGAGATTTCATTATTTGTTTAGACAAATGGACCAAGTGGGTCAGAGGGGTATTCAACCATCTTGGATTGGGTATTCAAATTTTGGATTGGGTATTCAAAACTAAACTAAACCCAAAAAAAATAAATAAATATATAAAAATAAAAAAAATTTAAATTTCAAATTTGAGGGTGTATTGAGAATATCTTGTGGATGCCGTGGAGCCGCGCCTGAATACTTGTAAGGGTCTGGCTAATAAGTATTTTTAGAGCGTCCAAAAAAAAAATTAATAATAATTAAAGAGTATGAGGTATTTTTAATAAAATTTGATGCACTTTTTAACACTTTTACTGCATTAATGTGTAGATTACCGGGAAAAGCATCTGGCTAATAAGTATTTTTAGAGCGTCCAAAAAAAAATTAATAATAATTAAAGAGTATGAGGTATTTTTAATAAAATTTGATGCACTTTTTAACACTTTTACTGCATTAATGTGTAGATTACCGGGAAAAGCATATGCAAAGAGACAACACATATGGCTTACTGGGGCGAATGAAGTTGACAGCAAAGTCTTTACTAGAGCTATTCTTGCCAAGGTGTGTGTTTGGTTTGAATTTTTTGGGTTAAATTTTTTAAAAATTGAGTTTTTTAGATTTTGTATTTTTTTATTTTTAGTGAATTTTTTAAAATTTTAAATATTTTTTTTACTTTTTTAGATGCACCTTACTTAGATGTATCTAAAAAGTAAAAAAATGGTAAAAAAATATTTTAAAAAATTAAAAAATACATAAAAATACAAAAAATGTACTGAATCCTTGTATTTTTTTTTATATTTTTGGTATTTAGTGAATTTTTAAAAGATTTTTTTTATAATTTTTTTACTTTTTAGGTGTATTTATGTTAGGTGTGTCTAAAAAGTAAAAAAATTGCATAAAATATTAAAAAAATTCAGTAAAAATAAAATAATATGAAAAATAAGAAAATTTTAAATATTTTTTTTACTTTTTTAGATGCACCTTACTTAGATGTATCTAAAAAGTAAAAATATTGTAAAAAAATATTTTAAAAAATTAAAAAATACATAAAAATACAAAAAATGTACTGAATCCTTGTATTTTTTTATATTTTTGGTATTTAGTGAATTTTTAAAAGATTTTTTTTATAATTTTTTTACTTTTTAGGTGTGTTTATGTTAAGTGTGTCTAAAAAGTAAAAAAATTGCATAAAATATTAAAAAAATTCAGTAAAAATAAAATAATATGAAAAATAAGAAAGTAGAATTTTCTGAAAACTGTTTTTAAAAAAATGGAACCAAGCAATTATTTTTTATTATTTTTGGCCAAGTTACTGAAAAAGTTATTTTTTGTACTCAGGTAAAAGCAAAGTGAATGAAGTAATGCATGTAATTTACTATGGATAGTCAAACGTCACTACAAATAATTAAAGTTTTAGAAATTAAAATTTAAGAATAAAATTATTTTTAAAAAATCAAATATTTTTGTTACGAAAAATGTAGTTATTATATTTTTAATAACGAAAATTAGACATTAGTGATGAATTATTATGCTTTTGAGATCAAATTTTTTGTCTCAAAAAATAAATCAGTTTTAGACCAAATTATTTTATCCCTAAAAGTCTATTTATTACTAACATTTCAAAATTTTGTTGCTGAAAGCCTTATTTTTTACTTTTCGAAACGACTTTTTAGCGACACTCCTCGTGATGATAGAAATTGATCCCTAAATGTCTTTTGTAACAAAATTTTCATTTTTAAAAATCAAAATATTTGATCTCTAAAACTCTTATATGTTGTAGTGCATATTTAAAAACATGTTCACAATTTAAATTATGATAGATTTTTAAATTTATACCTTAAACCGATTAATTTCATCCATATATTTCAAGTTTTGAATACTTTTCTGACTATGTATGTCTTAACCATCTAGTGTAACTTTTCTTTTTTTTTTCTTTTTCTTTTTTCTTTCTTTTTCAAATCAGTGACCAAATTTACTTTTATTTATACGCCAGTAAATAGATAGCATATTAAAAAAAGTAATGCAAGAATTTTACTATGGATAGCAAAGCAGAAATGCTATGGTGCCGTTTGGTAACACTTATGTTTTTAGTTTTTTATTTATATTTACAAAAATTTTAAAAATTCAAATAAAAACTTGTTGGGTAAATTTTTGATTTATAAATCAATGGTCTCAGTTTATAAATTTGGCCATAATATGTAAATGCAAAAAATGTGTTTTCGTTTTGAGTTTTAAGTTTTTTTTTTTTTCACCACCCAACACTAGCCACCACCCGTCACCATTTTCCACCACCGTCTTCCGCCACCACTACCCACCCCCCCCCCCCCCCCCCCCCCCCCCCCCCCCCCCCCCCCCCCCCCCCCCCCCCCCCCCCCCCCCCCCCCCCCCCCCCCCCCCCCCCCCCCCCCCCCCCCCCCCCCCCCCCCCCCCCCCCCCCCCCCCCCCCCCCCCCCCCCCCCCCCCCCCCCCCCCCCCCCCCCCCCCCCCCCCCCCCCCCCCCCCCCCCCCCCCCGCCCCCCCCCCCCCCCCGCTCCCCCCCCCCCCCCCCCCCCATCCGCCATCCGCCACCCACCTACCACCACCACCCCCACCAACCACCCACCACCACCACCACCACCCACTCGCTGCCGAAGTCCGGTTCTCGCGGTGGAACAACGCCAACGCCCAGAAATTCATCCGCCAAGACCGCACCCAACAAGATATAGAAGACGAACTCCGCCGCCTCAAACGCTTCAACTCCGCCGACAAAATCATCACCACCACCACCACCACCGCCACCACCGACACCTTCAGGTCCACCGGAACACCCTCCACCCCCTCTCTCCCTTCCATTCCCGGCAAATCCTCAAAGTATTCCAAAAACCCTAGACAAACCACCCACCCTGCATTTCGCCCCATTTCAAGGGTCGTCAATGTTCCTACCGAATCCCAAAAGGCCGAAACCGGCGTCAAAGTCAGCGACGACGGCGTTTCCTATGTTCTCCCCAATGCTCCCTTTGCATTTCAGTATAGCTACACTGAGACTCCAAAGGCCAAGCCTTTGAAACTCCGTGAGCCCCCAATTGCTCCCTCTGCCACTTGCCACCACTTGTCATTTCTCACTCTTTTTTATATTTTTAAATTTTTTAAAATATTTTGTCAATTACCAAATGCGTTTGTAGTTTATGTTTTTCTAAAAATAAACAATAAATAAATAAAAACCAGTTTATAAAATTTTTGTAAATATAAACTGAAAACGTAAACGTTACCAAACAGACCTTATGTATCCAAAAATATTCATAAAAAATACTCAAATTTTAATTTATAGTATAGATTTAAACTTAATGTGTGGGGCGTATCCTGATTAATACATTTTAAATTCTACACACTTCTTAAGTATTTTTAGGTAACATTGTTATTATTTTCTTTTCTTTTTCTTATTTTTTTTTAAGGGTAAATTGTGCAAATGGTCCATGTAGTTTACACGATATGTCAAGTTGATCCCTATTGTTTCAATTTGCTCGATTTTGCCCCCTTAATTTAACAGATTGTGTCATTTTAGTCCAATAAATAACGGTTGTTAAGTTTGATGGGCGGAAAGTCTACACAATGTGTCAATTTGGTCCTTATAGTTTACACAATGTGTCAATTTAGTCCATATTGTTTTAATTTACTCAATTTTGACAGGGACCAAATTGACACATTGTGTAAACTATAGGGACCAAATTGACATATTGTGTAAACTATAGGGACCAAATTGACACATAGTTTGACTTTTCGCCTACCAAACTTAACAATCGTTATTTATTGGACTAAAATGACACAATCCGTTAAATTAAGGGGCAAAATCGAGCAAATTGAAAGAATAAGGAGCAAATTGACACATCGTATAAACTACACGGACTATTTGTACAATTTACCCATTTTTTAATTCATTGGCAAATGAACCTTGGTAGTTTACATTATTAAATTAAGCAAGTTGCTGTAATAGTTATGAGTTATCTTACATGCATCAATTAGTGTATTAATTAGTGTACTAACACTAGTTATGACATTATTATTAACCACACTCATTATATAAATTATAAATACCAAAAATATCTTAAATTATGTCACATCATCAATTGGTACACTAATTAGTGTACTAATTGGTGCATATAGCATTAATCAATAGTTGTTAATGATTAATTCCTCTTTCAATTAATAGTTAATTTAATGCATAATAGCTTTAACCCAGTAATCTAACTAGTTTGTTTTTCTCTTTTGTTTCCTCAACTTCCACATTGTTGCATCAGAGTGCTCATATACAGGTATAAGTTCTGTAAAAAAAATGGTATCAATCTGAATTTTTGACTCCATTTTCTAAGTACTTCTGTGAAAGTATGTGTGTTTTTATGTTATTTATTACTAATTTGAAAACCATTTTTGCAAATATTTTATGTTGCAGACTGTGGTATGTATTCCTCTACTAGATGGTGTGGTTGAACTTGGCACAACTGAAACGGTACTTATTAATTATAACTCAACCTTTCTTATTTAGTACTCTGAAGATTGATCGGTTGTTGGTCCTCTGGAGCTCATTTGGTAATCAAGGTGTTTCGGAAATATAGTTAAAAGTTATTATTTAACTTTTTTGCGAGAGGGAGAAGTGAGTTAAAAGTTTAGAAGTGACTTTTAACTCACTTTTCAAAATTACATCAAATAAATTATTGATGTAAAAATTAAGTTAATCAAATATCAATAATTATATAATTGAATCAAACTCTATTTTTTGAAAAAAAAAATGGTAGGTCTTCTTGAAATCATACATAATGTTCCATTTTTTTTTGAGTCAGCTGTGATTCAATTATATGGCCATCTATATTTCAGATTTATTTGAGAATTGATTATTTTAATTGATTTTTTTATAAAAAGATATGCAGAAAAATAAAAAAATAATAATATAACAACTTATAATAATTTTTTAAATAAAAACCATGGTCCCCAAACGGGGCATTAATCAATCTAAATTTTTGTATAATGAAACATTTAAATAGTACTAGTTCAAAAAAACGTACACTTAAATAGTACTAAAAGATGAACCATTAAGATAGTGAACCGTAGGAAAACTGATTTTTTTTTTTAAATAAATAAAAAATCATGATCACAATGCCCGAGAAAAATGTTCAGGATTTCCTTTGTTGGGAGTTTCATGATCCCCAATTTAATCTTAGCCTTTGATATGTGTATAGGAATCTTTTGAGGATATTAATCCAATTGGATAGTGAATACTACACTAATTTTATAGGATTATTAATACTTCACTATTAGTCTTGTGAATCAAACATGACCAAATAATACTAAAAGATGAACCATTAAGATAGTGAACCGTAGGAAAACTGATTTTTTTTTTTAAATAAATAAAAAATCATGATCACAATGCCCGAGAAAAATGTTCAGGATTTCCTTTGTTGGGAGTTTCATGATCCCCAATTTAATCTTAGCCTTTGATGTGTGTATAGGGATCTTTTGATGTGTGTGTGGACCCCCATATTATGAGTGGTTGGAATGAAAATAGGAATTGTAGGTATTATATATGTATGGAGATTTCTACCACAATTGCGGTGCCGAATTTCATATGCGAATCATTCGGTATTCCCGATACCATTACATATGGCAATTAATTATAATGCATGCATGCTGCCATTGTAGGTTCAAGAGGATATTGGATTCATACAACAGGTCAAGAGCTTCTTCAGTGACCACCACCCTCCTCAACCTCCAAAGCCAGCCGTCTCCGAGCAGTCCACCTCTAACCCGGCTGCATCATCGGGGCACCCACGTTTCGACTCACCTCCGGTACCTTTACCAGCTATGTATGCACCCATGGATCCTCTACCCATTGCCAATCAAATAGACAACGAAGAAGATGATGATGAAGAGAAAGAAGAAGAAGAAGAAGAAGAAGAAGAAGAAGACGAAGAAGATCAGGATGAAGAAGACTCAGAAGCCGACTCGGGGGCTCATCAGAACCCTCATGATCTATCTCCGGGTTTAGCCGAGGCTGAGCCAGTGGCTGTGGAGCCAAGTGAGCTAATGCAGGTAGAGATGTCTGAGGATATCCGTGTCGGGTCACCGGATGATGGGTCGAATAATTTGGATTGGGAGTTTCGGGTGTTAGCCGTAAGCCAAGCTGGAAACCCAGCTGATAATCAACGGCGAGCTGAGTCGACTCGTAGGTGGCAAGTCTTACAGGACCGATTGAACAACGGTCTTCAACTACCACCACCTTCAGGTATGGTAGTAGTTCATTAGGATGTTGCTATAATCCAATGCATTATTCACCCGTTTTATTTTCCAGCTCATGCATAAATTATAATCCCCGCCTCTCGTCTTTATGTCATCTCCGCATGTTATTTCAAACTATATGCATTTAGGGGAGAACAAAATAATTTAAATTGAAAATAAATTAAAATATTAAAATTTAAATTTATAAAATTAAAAATTTATGATTTATTTTATTACAAATCTCAAATCAAGAAATAAAAATTGTAAATATTTTTCCATTGACTAAGGCCCCGTTTGGGAATTTACTTTTTTAGCCAATTAGTCAAAAAGCCAACAACTCATACCAAAAAGTCAAAGATTCTATTTTCTCTCTACTTTTTGCACATCTTTTCGTAATTAGCCAAAAAGTCATTCCAAACATACAAATTCTTTTTACCTACCTTTTTAGCCAAATAGCCAAAAAATTACTAAATTAACCTGTTCCCAAACGAGGCCTAAATATATATATTTTTTTTTTTTGGTATAAACCCTAAAAAAATCATTCTAGCATTCCTACGTTCACACAATTTTTTCCTCTGAATCTCTTTAAATGAAACTCTGAAATAAGAACTTTTATGGGTAAGAATTTCATTTGGGAGATTGGAAAAAAATTATGTGTGATAAATCATTAATCTATTACTATTATAGTTTCTGACATGTGTGAGGCTTCTCTCTAATTCGATATTAGGCTTGAATGTACTACTAGGTTCATAGAGATCCATCACGGGTCGTGTTTTAATAATTTAAATCGTTCAATATATAGAACTCGTCGAATATTTTATTTCATAAAAAATTACATTAATCAAATATCGATAGATACTTGATCAGATTCGATTTCTGTCAACGATAAATATAATTTTTAAAATAAATTTAACAAAAATTTAATTTAATCTAGTAATTATAGATATCCAATGAATATAATTTTTTATAAAAATAAAATACCTAACGAGATCTATATATTGACTATTTAAATTATTGAAACAGACGTTCCAATAGACCAGCGGACCCAGCAACACTCTAGTTAAAGTGGGCTGGAGAGAAGTTTGACACTTCTAACATATACTATTAAATTAAAATTGCTCAGGAGGGCCTGCATTGGAAGAATTAGCGCAAGAGGACACACACTACTCCCAAACAGTGTCTACTGTTCTTCACCACCAACCGAACCGTTGGTCCGAGACTTCATCTTCATCGATGAACCCCAGCTACCTACTCTACTCCTCCCAATCTTCATTCTCCAAATGGACGATCCACTCCTCCGACCAGCACCACCACCACACGGCGGAGGCCTCCTCCCAGTGGCTCCTCAAATACATCCTCTTCAATGTCCCCTTCCTCCACACCAAGTCCCCCGACCAAAACTCTCCAAAATCAATCAACATTGCCGACTCCACTTCTCGGTTCCCAAAGCCGACGCCGCAAGACGACCTCAGCGCCAACCACGTCCTCGCCGAGCGCCGCCGCAGAGAGAAGTTGAATGAGCGCTTCGTCATACTGAGATCGTTGGTTCCATTCGTCACCAAAATGGATAAGGCTTCGATTTTGGGGGACACGATTGAGTACGTAAAGCAATTGCGCAAGAAGATTCTGGATCTCGAAGCTAGGGCTCGTGAGATCGAGATCGATCCGGAGATCAGTGATTTAAATTTGAAGGAGCCAAGGGAAAAGAGGAAGTTGAGGATCGTTGAAGTGAACGGTGGCGGAGGGAAGGCTACTAAGGCGGTGGATTCGGAATCGCCGCCGCCGCCGCAGGCGGTGGTGGGAGTGGCGGTGCAGGTACAGGTGTCGATAATTGAGAGCGATGCGTTGGTGGAGATGCAGTGTTTGCATAGGGAAGGGTTGTTGTTGGAGGTGATGGTGGTGCTGCGAGATCTTCGACTGGAAGTCACGGCGGTGCAATCGTCGTTGGCCAATGGTGTCTTCGTTGCTGAGTTGAGGGCTAAGGTACGATCTTCAACCGTTCAAGATAAGAACATTTTGACCGAGTCGCTATTATCATTCCAGTTTGTTTCAAATATATATATATATTTTTTAATTAGAACAGGCTTTTTCCCAGTTTATTGTGAATTGGGGTGTATTATGAGATTTGTGGGGTTTATCACGAGTCTTATTTTGATAATTTAAATCGTTTAATGTGTAGAGTTCGTCGAATGTTTTATGTCTGTAAAAAATCATGTTGATCAGATAACGATAACCCCTTGATCGGAATAAATTTTTATGACGAGCTCTATGCATTGAACGGTTCAGATTATAGTAGAGTTCGTCGAATATTTTGTGTATGTTAATAGGACGCATGGTGTGCCCACGAGTTCAATAGTACGCTCCAATTCACACAATAACAAGACTATTTGGAATGATCTAAATAAATATACTTTTTAACTTTTTATAAAAAGATATACAGAAAAGTAGAGATGTAATATAACTCAAATAAGTATACTATCCAAATAAGTGTACTTATTAGTTTATAGCAAATACATAATTACATTAATACTTTTGAAATTTTAATTTTTTTCAAAGACTATATTTTGTGTGAAAGTATATTAATATAATTATTTATAATGAGAACAAAAAATAAAATACATTTGAAACAAAGTTGAATGGAAATAACGATTCCCTTCAAATATAAAACATATTTATTCATTGAGTGTGAATTCATTTTGACTGTTGGAATTGTTCATATTGTGAAATCTGTCTAGCAGATTATTCACATTAAAAATTGATCGAATCATATATTTGTTTAAAAATAATTAAAAATAATTAATGTGTTTGGTTTAAGTTTTTTTGAATTAAATTTTTTAAAATTTGAGTTTTTTGATTTTTATGTTTTTTTTGTTTTTAGTGAATATTTTTTAAATTTTAAACAATTTTTTTACTTTTTTTAGATGCACTTTATTTAGATGTATCTAAAAAGTAAAAAATTATGAAAAAATATTTTAAAAAATTAATAAATACAAAAAAATATAAATAATGTACTAAATTCTCGTATTTTTTTATATTTTGGTATTTGGTGAATTTTTAAAAGTTTTTTTCACAAATTTTTTACTTTTTAGGTATATTTATGTTAGGTGTGTCTAAAAATTAAAAAAAATTGCTTAAAAAATTAAAAAAATTCAATAAACACAAAAAAACACAGATAACAAGAAAGTAGAATTTTTTGAAAAATATTTTTGGAAAACTCTAGCCAAGCAATATGAGTTTTGAAAAAAAAATTATTTTTTATTAGACAAATTTAATCTAATCAAGTGCCTATCAGTGTTAGATCAACTTGATTTCTGGCATGAATAATTTGTTCAGTGAACTCCACGATAAAAATGGTTCGGCAAAGTCAGTCCACACTAATGAAAGTAAAATTTTACACTTGCAAATTTAAAATTTTTTTAAAAAAATTATTAACTAAGACTATCTCTAATGACAAATGTTATAATAATATTGTCATTGTTACAATTTGACAATGAATAGTAAAAAATTGTGAAATTATAACAATGGTACTTCGATAGTCATATGTTATTTTGGCAGAACCAAACACAAAAATTAGTGTGTTTGGGACAATCAACCAGACGACTTTGATTCTGTAAAAATGGTGAAAAGGAGAGAGTGGGGTTTTGCTTGACGAGTTAATAATTATGACAACTGTCAAAATTTATGTCATATTTGACACAAATTTTAACATTTGCTAAATTTGCCAGTTGTCATATCTACTGCCAAATTATGACAATAGCAGCTCCATGGAAAACTATTGGAGATACTCTAATGTATCATATAATGTAAAAATAAAATACACCTTAATATAGTATAATAAATGTCCCATTAATAAGTAAAAAACTTATGTTTGGTTTGCATTTGGGAGATGAGTTTTAGAAAAAAATTTCTAAAAAATTATTTGGTTTGAGTTTTTCTCAAAAAAATTTCAAAATCACTTTCCCTTTCTTACACATCAATCAATCACTTTTTCTCTCTCTTCTCTCCTTCTCAATCACTTTTTCTCTGACACACATCTACTCAAATTCTCCCAAAATATCAAATCATCCCAAACTCTGAAAAAAATAACTCTCCCAAAATATACAACCAAACAAACCAAAAAAAATTCTAAACTCTCTCCCCAAAATTTTTTTCAAAAATAACTCTCCCAAAAACAAACCAAACAAGCCCATAATATGTATTGATTTGTATTATATTACTCTTGATTAACTGTTTCTACATATCCCAAATGTGGTAATTGTTTTTCTGTTGAATTTCATCTTCAGGTGAAGCAAAATGTTAGTGGCAAGAAACCAAGTATTGTGGAAGTAAAGAGGGCAATGCACCAAATAATACCCCAGAACTGACTCGATATATTTATTTTTTTTTGTAAGTAGTAGACTTGATTTAACAGATAATTCACCAATTACTCAACCATTAATAATGCAGAATAATGTAACATTTTTGTATTTTTTTTTTTTCCTTTCAAACTAAAAAATCAAAAATAAAAAGTCTCGGGTAAAACGGATTTTTTATAAAACAAGATGTACGCAATTTGAAAAATATCACTAATGCGTCACCTGAAAAAGCAATAAAGATGTATGTTGTTGAAGAAATAGACTAGGCGTCCGTCAAATGTAATCTTGTATTGGATTTATAACATCTAGCATAAATATCTGCCAACAAAGCTAGAAGTCCAATAACAAACTGGAAATCTTTGGTTTGACAAGTTGTGAATCCTAAAACCTAGTAATGGTTATGGATTATTATGCTCAGCCCATGATTTGAATTCAAATAAATTGCCATAAGCAAGTGGTTTGCATTGTGCCCATGGAAATGCCATAAAAGGCAGAAAGCAATTGGAGACAAGCTCTCTATTTTTGGTCAAATTCACAATTCATTAGAGTTGTAGGATGGAGTAGGACCACGGGAGTAGAAACAGTTTATTGTAGTTATAGTATTCTCCCTTGTAACTTGGGAAATTTTTATTAATACAATTTTGCTTTCTTCATTCCATTTTCATCATCTTATCTTGTTGTTCCAAAGAAGTGCTTGACTCTTTCAAGGCAGCGACTCCTATTTGAATTAGTGAAATTTGTGTTGAGGCTTGTTGGTTTGTCACTCTTGATTTTTGCCTAACGCATCGGAATTTTACCAACACAAGGACATAGTAAAACTTCACATGATAATGAGGGTAGAGATCAGTTGGGCTTAGAGTACCAGAAGTAATCACAATCAACTGAAACCGTTAAAAACACAGGCTTTATGGCACACGAAGTGTCATGGCAGTAAACCACAAACCACAACATTTGCCAATTACACCATATGACCGTGCTAAAAAGTACAAACACCACCCTTTCTCCCTCCCAAATGCCCTAAAATCCTTCAAGAGTTGGAACAAAATCTTGATTCAAGAGTGTTTTGGGATTTAAGAGTTGTTCAGGAAAATATCAGAAACAACTCAGCATTGCAATTTCTCGAGTAAAGCAAAAGCAAAAGCAAAAGCAATGCAAAGAAAATGAGGAATGTAAACTGTTGATCCATAAATTTTCAGAATTATCCAATAAAAAATCTCTTTACTAAAAGTGAGTTATAGCAGTTCATCAACTTTTTCATCAAATTCAAATTTAATAAAAAAAAATGACAAAATGTGCTCCACCCATTACATCAAAACTGTATCAAATCTAGGGATAGAAATTTTTTTTTACCGAATCAAGGATGACCCAAATCCTTCACTAAATTTTCTAACAACATTTTTATTCAAATTTGATGAAATTTTAAAAAAGATTAACAATTGGAGTTGGCTTTCATTCATCAAAAATGATTAAAACAGATTTTTAAGATAATTTTGAAATTTTTTAAAAAGATAAATGAAAAAATAAAAGAGAGAGAGAATGATCTGACAATTGTTAAATTTAGAAACATAAAAATGTATAACTTTTAATGACGATTATTTTAACCAATTACAAAATATATTTTTTTGACATATAGTTTTCCACTTGCATGAGCATTGGCAATCTCTTGAGATGTACACATACAAAAATAAATAAACAAATTAATTAATTAATAAAAATTCAAATAGAATGACTAAATTAAAATTACACTTAAGTATAAGAATTAAATTGTTCAAATTCAAAATAGAGACGAAAGTAAAATTTGTATCAGACTAGAGATCAAAAGTGTAATTTACCCTACATACCGAAAGTATAGGAACTTAGTCTAGTACTCGTAAGCTAATTCCAAATACCTACATATCAAAACAAAAAACAGTGAGAAGGAATGTAATACAACCACCAGCTCCTGAGCTGGCAACTGATGTACCCCAGTGCTATGCTTAATGAGGCAAGTGAGAGAAGGCTGCAAGCAGAAGTTGAGCCTGTTTCCGCTCAGCTGGGGTAGGAGAAGGCAGAGGTTTATAGGGTGGAAAGACATTCTCCGTGGATAGGGCAATCTTCAGTTTCTCTGTCCAGGAAAGAATTGGTGGGGGAGAAGGTATGCATACTTTAATTTCGGGAGACGAAGAAGAAGGTGTGGACGCTTCTATTTTCGGAGATGACACGGGAGCAGAAGGAACAAAGGCATTAATATAATCAAGCCAGTCAGAAGAACAGATCTTCGCCTTCTGGGCTAAGAATGATGGGTTATACCCTTGTGCTTCTTCTGGGCAAGGAGCAGAGTGCACTATCTTTGTAGGCATGGAAGATATATACCATGCTATAAGAAGATTCTCCTCCAGACTACGCCGATGGTCAATGAGCACATAAGGATAAACGAACTGAACTTCGAGCATAGGAAGGAAACTCTAAAGGGTCAGTGAACTCAACAAAATAGTGGTTGATTCGCTCCTTTAAATCATAAGTCTCAGGTACTGACCAGCTTGTCCAGTCAGAACCTCCAGAAGAGGAAGAAGTTGCAGCTTTATCCCATACAGAAATTTGCGAAGAAGAGTTGCTCAAATCCATATTTGCAATTTTACGAATCAGAGGTTTGAGAGCAGATTGTTCAAACTGTAAAGGTGGGTCAGAGGGGAAAATTCTTATGTCTTTGTTTGTAGCCTTCTGAATCGAAGGATTAAGAGCAATGTGTTCGTAATCCAAAGGTCGGTAATTTGCAAAGGCATCCATGACCTGAATATAGAAAGGTGGGTAAAGGTGGCTAATAAATGCATGCTTTCGATGAGGAATAGCATCGACATATGACTCTTCGTATGCTTCATCATTGGAGGAAAGAATTAATTTGGCCATGAAATGTATCAGTCTGTTCGAATAATAAGACAGTGAAAGTACTTAAAGGATCAAGACGAGAGTATTAATACAGATGGTGTGTGACAGTTGCATTTCTAGAAAGATGCAAAACCCATGCACGTTCTAAAACGTGGGAAAAGGGACTCTAATCCACTAATATCACCAAGTCTTTGGTATATTAGTGCGGGGGGTAATGTTGGCTACACATTTTGTGCTAGCCAGTGACAATTCGACGCGTGGCAAAGTGAGGGTAATATGGGGAGACCAGGTAGGTCTTCGATCCTGATCAGACACGTGGCAATTAATATTGGTTGTTATAAGATCTGAGTAGTAGCGGATCAACAAAGAGACGTACAGTGACGTGGCTTCAACGGTTGCTCACATTCAAATTCGAATATAAGGAGGAAGCCTAACTGCAAGAGAAGGCGTAGTTGAGCTACTTATAAGGTAGCATGATCAGCAACTACGGAGGAGCAGTTCGACGGTTTGAAGTACAATTCGATGGTTATCTACGGAAAGTATAAATAGCAGGAGGGACTTCAGAGAAGAGAGGAAGAAAAGATCTAAAGAATTACTTTACATATTCCAGTATTATTTCCTGTCTTTTATATTTCTGTACTTTAAGTTCCTGCGCTGCACTTCATTTGTAGGAGTAGTTTTCGAGTATATTGGCGCTGTAATTCTCTACGGAACTAAGATCATTGTAAGTTTTTCATACTAATAAAATGCTTCAGTTTATTTAACTGTTCTTATGCTCAAGTTCTCTGAAGTCAAATTACTAGTAAGCCACCAGTAAAAGTCCTCTTTATTAAGGCCGAAAGAACCATAACATAATCGTCTAAATAATTGTTTGACAATTACAATTCTGTAAGAACTGATTGATCCTTACTGGCACGCTCATAATTACAAAAGTAACCTTCGAAAGCCAAAAAGCCAACAAATATACTCTCTCGTTTATCTCCCAATCTCTCCCATTTTGGAGAGACTCAAAAAGTGGATTGTAAAAATAAATCAATTTGTCTTCATTTTTTCTATATCTCCCCACTTCCCTCATCTTTAATAATCAAAACAAGTGCCTGCAAAGAGAAACAGAATTATTTTCATTTCTCTCCTAATCATTCAATCCAAACATACTGTTCATTTCATGCTCAAATGCTTGTTACAGATGACTCCAAAGAGCAGACTCTGGGCCTTCTTGCTGGAGATACAAATGGCCTAACCCAAGTCAGCCATGTCGCTAGTGTCAACCCAGCATTAGCAGACAGTTTCAGTAAGGAGATAAAATTACATCATTTATTCATGACAAATCCCTTAACCCTAGACACATTACTTTACAGTTTCTGCCATGTACAATCCGCACCCTACTATATAATTAACTAGAATTACAAACTAATTTCTTCTTTCCACAACTCATTCATTTGATATTTCAGAACATTTAACAATGTTTTTTTCAACTAAAATAACACAGAAGCCAGCATCCAATACAAAAGGCTTCAAGAGTCCTGCTACGGACACCAACTTTTCTATTGCATTTTTCACCGTCCCATTCATGATGTGTGTGGGGCTCACACAGTTGCAATAGTAGCTACTCTTCTAAACCTTAATTTAGAAAAATTTAGTAACAATCACCGCTCAAAAAATGCCTGAAAATCCAAATAAACAAATGTTATGTTGAACTAGCAAGCAATAATTTATAAGCAGAATGTTAGAGCATCATTATCAAGCTCATTAGAGCCTTCTCTTGGCTATTTTATAACATAAAACCATATAAACACGCTCCATCAAACTCAATTATTGGCTAGCTACTTTAGTTAAATATCAAACCATTAGTTACATGTAGTTAGGGAAAGAAGACTCAACAAATAAAATAAAGAATAGAGAGTTTATTGGAGAATATATTTGAAAAGATGGTTAGCTAAAATAGAAAAATAAACTTTTAGTTAAAATTTAACTAAAAATTTGACTATTTTGATGGAGATGCTCACTCTTGTATCTTCATAGTAGAAAGCAAATATTATTTACCTCTGAATATTAAATGAAGGTTTCTTCATAAGTCATACGCCATAACGCCGTAAAGCTTTGCTTAAACTCGGCATTACATTATATGCCTGATAGGATCTTCTCAATTCTATTATCGAACCCACCTGGACCAGAAAAGTAAGGAACATCAGATAAATTAGACAGCAGCCAAGCAAGAGGTGCTCACTTCATTCTAATTCCTCAAACATTTTATTTATTTTCCACCAATTTGTTGTTGATCCACAAGAGAGAAATTACAAATATCATGAGAATTACATCAAACAGGGACATTCAACTAGAAAAGAAAGTCCAGCAAATAGTCATAAGCATACAACAAATGTAACTTCATAATTCAAATCATGCAGTAATTCAATGTTATCTCCCAAGGAGTTGTCCTTGATACTTGGCTTCATTATTGCAAAACAATCAGAAAAACTGGGGTTTAAGAGACACAAGAAGACTTGGAAGAAACTAAAAATTTGAAAGAGCACTAGTATTTACCAATACTAAGATGAGAATTGCTGCATAAAAACAAGGTGGAAGAACAGGATGCGAACAGGATTCTACACCCTTTGGTTCCTATAGTTTGCTTCATATTTGTGATCACATTTTATTTGTTGACAGTCAGATGGACTGACTCGTTAAGTTTTGTGATTTGAAGTATTTTGTGTATATGTTCATTGGATAATCTTCATTACGATTCCTTTACTCTAAGAAGCACCGACGAGACCCGAGACACGACATTGACTGGCCAACATGCAAATTTTCAAAATATATAGGATATGACACGTAGGGAGAAACGTACAAAATATATAATTTTATATATTTATTATATTTCATTTATAAGGATAAATGAGTATTATATGTCATATATACGAATATTTAAGTTAAAGATAATAAACTTTAAAATTTATTGGAGCAAAATATATATAAATTTATATTGTTTTTGTTTTATCATTGAATTTTAAGTTATTTTATTCAATCTTGTAATGTGTTTTGTGTGTGTCAAAGTGCCTAACAAGGTGTTGGATACAACACGTTACCTTCTTGTAAGTGTCCGTGCTTCTTAGCTTTTACTCTTTCTTTTTTTAAGAAGGTCCATGCTTCTTTGCTTTTACTCTTTTTTTTTCCCACATCCATTGCACATGCACATCACTTTGTTTTAATACAAGTACAAGTAGTACATCTCTTGCCTTTCTCTTCATCTTTAACTCTTGTACTTGATAGATCCTAAATGCTAAGACTGACCCAATGGTGTGGCATAACCCAAAGCGCAACATGGATAGTGCAATTTCGTACTTAGGAAAAATTAAATCCAAGATACACATATTTACTAAGTAGATAAATTATCACCTTCTTTTTTTTCTTTTCATGTAGTCTTTGATGTAATTTCATATTTTAAAAAAAGGAATCTAACAAACATCTATAATGGACCAACATAGAAAGCAGCACCACTGTAGTGCATAGCTGAAGTAAATACAAGGACAGAAGGCAGCCCTGAAATTAATTGACTCACAATGATAAGAACTGAAGTAAACCCTATCGCAAATCCCTCATTTATACGGCGTAAGTAATGATCAAGAATAGTTGATGTAGTTGCCAAAAAACTTAGCAACAGGCCACCTGCACAATTTCCACAAGGAGAGAGAGAACCAAAGCAAACAAAAAATCGTGTTAATGGCAGAAAAAATATTAGAATAACTTCTATAAGAACATTTGGGCAGGCATATACCCCAAAAACGTGTAGAAGCTTGGATCTTTGTTAAGTATTCAATGGTGGCTTTTCCAGGCTTTATATTTGGTATTCTGGCACCCATCTTATTTAAGTAATCAGCAATTTCCTTGGGCATGTTGGCCTGGATACGTGTGCCCCAGTCATTAAAGATAAGAATAAAAATTAAATACATCAGCAATCACTATGTAAACACAACAATATAAACTTCGCCCAAAAAATAGCAGTGCAGTTGGTTCAGAAATGTTTCATTAGTCTGGCAATATCTAAGATCTCTCTATATAGTCTACTGTGCACCATAAATCAAGAAAAGAAGCGGCGTGTGGGGATAGTTCTTCAGCAAACCTGGGTGCCATTAAGGAATCAACATTGCAAGAAGAATGATAGAATTGGTTTATTTGATTATTTGCTCCATTTTAAAGGTGGGGGGAACAGATTTCAATCCACTGATATGGAAAGGCAGGTCGACCAAAACATTGCATTATACAAAATTTATTTTTGAATTTTCAACTCCCTCTTCTTCAAAACATTTAGCATCTAAAAGGACCAGTGCTCACCTCCAACTTAATTATAAACCCTGAATGCAAAATATCAAGAACAATTCAAGCAAGCACATGATAAATCATCTTGCTTTACAGAGGAATATTGACAAAGTGATAGCCAAAAGAAAAGGTTTAAATTGAACAAGCTAAACCAAATAACATACATTATTAAAGAAAAAGAAAAAATTAGATTGAGCCAATACTTACAATGTCAAATATGTTGAAAAGGAAAACAAAAAATGCATAAATTGAATAGTAAACCCATGGAGCTGCACCAAGAGAACTCTCAGGATTCAGTATCTCTTTGACATGTTCCCAGAAAGATGAACCAAGGAGACTGCCAAGAAATCATTGTTTTAGAAAGTTATAGCAGTAAATTCACCATAGATTTTATTAAGAACGCCTATATTAAGCAGAAAAGGAAACCATGACACATCTTGAGGGCAGGAGCACAAAAGTTTCAATGACTTCCGCCTTGTCTTCATTATCAAAACAATTATTACATGGTCATTTATTTTTCAAATGACATCCAAAATGAGAACCATCGAACACAGAAAATAACCCATAATCACTAGATGAAAGTGAGAGTGTGGTGGCAGTGGGGTGTGTGGATAAAAGGTTCTGATAATGGGTGGGTAGGTGGGTGGGTGAACCCATAATCACTTTTATGTCACCATTTGGTGATGTATTAGAAACTGTATAATGTTATAATGTGAATTAAAGGTTCTGATTATCCCAAAATATTAGAAACTGTGCCCTTCCTCAAGATGCAAATACATTAAAGAAGAGCTTTTGATTGAAAAAATAGCTCAAAATGAACAATTACACCAATTGCAGATCAAATCACCTTGCAAGGATGCTGGGAAATGCCAACAGATAGGTAGTTGTGAGAACGGGTTGCATTCCTGATGGATTAATATTGAATGGAATGTACGGCTCAACTTCAGTAACTGGGGATTCTTCTCTGTCCAAATTATTGGAACACAAAAGTTAATGTCAAAAGTACATTAGAGCAAATTAAATCTCAATATACAATATAAGTGACATCAAGTAGACTTTTCAAGTGTGTGCCAACTTTTAGTAAATGGTCAAGCTATTCCATTCAAAAGTAATTCATGTCAATAATATCCTCTAGCCTCTACAGATATCAAAGAGCAACAGAAACATATTTATTTTATCTATTGTTTGTTATTTGCGATAAGTATAACTGACTTCAAAATCAATAATGGCATTTTACATTATGAAGAGAATATATTACAACTAAATTTATGCAACTCGAGTTTCTTTCAAGACCCAAAAAAAATACACGTAAGTATCTCTGCAAAGCAAAGATGAGATCACCTTGTAGCAGAAGCAAGTTTGAAACCATAGTATTGCAGTTTAATTTTCCTGCAACCCTCAGTTACAACAACTGCCCACATAGTGACTACAGTGAAGATACCTAATACTGCAAGTATATAAGGCCACCAGTAGACAGCACTCCCTGCAATATCAAATATGGTACAAGCTTGAAAGGTTAAAACAACACTATAAAGAAAAAAATATAACTAAGCATACATTACTCTCTTCTACTTAATAAATTGTTGAATCCCTATGGACAGGTTGCTTTTAGTTTGACAATGTTATTTATATTCACTCATGACGGAAATTAAACGCCACACTGTATGCCTCAGTTAACGCAAAACATAAATTAGATAGTTTTGATTTATACGCTTTTTAAACTGTTCTCTTCCTCCATCACCTTTCTAGTATAATGGTCTGACAGCTCAACTTAAGCAAATCAAACCTAACAAGTAATTGTACATAACAGGAATTATATTAATTGCACACATTTTTGGTGTGTTGTCTTGCACAGAAGCATGAAATAGGGAAAATAAATAGATATCCATGCTTAGAACAACAAAAGAAAATAGCTATGGTATTCTACTGTTTATATTCTGCACTTAAGATCCATAAAGCTGAATGGATATCAGATTTATAGTTTTCATAAATACCCAATTCAACAGCAATTTAATGAGGTGTGTATGATTAGAATAGCAAATAAATCCTTCAAAGAGTCAGCTAACATGTTGCCCTATGACTCAAAGCTCAGTTGTTCTTACAAATGAAATCAAATTACCTAGATAGATAGAATACAGACACTAGAATAATTTCCTATTTAAGCATCTACCTGTGAGCTGAGATAACATCTTGTATAATGTATCTGTGTAGCCAGTCAATATTCCCACACATATAATCAAAGATGATCCTTGACCTGAAGCACACATTACAAGTCAGAAACATGAAAAATGATGCACCTTATATGACTAACATAATGAATATACAAATTCTTTTGGCTGACTTGTATGCCTTGAGAAAGTTAGGCATGTCAATCACAATTTAATTGAATCTTGCATTGGACTCCTTACATTCTAATCTTTCCTAGAATCACTTAATCCTGATAGTGCATAGAAATCATAGAGCAACTAGATTGTAGCATGATCTGAAGTGCAAAACCAAACACAAAACAGTCGAGTCGAGAGATCCTGAGGCAAGGCGAGTGGCCGAGACCTCCGGGAACTCAAGACGAACACAAACGCGGATGATCACCGAGTGTTCAAATGGTGACGTCCAAGTCTTGAGGACGGTCAAAAATGAGGTGTCTATACCATGCCTTCCTCTATCATCTTTTCCAGGCCATGTGACTATGTCCTAGCCTCTTGATTGTAGGACCTCTGAGCCTTAAAACTTCTTAGCTGGTTATTTTGCTTCTGCTGTTTGTGTTGCCTCAAATATGCTCTAATTGCACTAGCCCCTTCCAAGCAAGGATTCATTGGCACTCCTTGGTAAAGAAAGGGCCCATCTTGCTCCCCATAATCTGTTATATCTCGACAATATAAACTCTTGGGTCTATCCCATCATATAGCAGGTCTGCACCATTGAAAATTTGTAAATCATCTTGGCCCATAGTGTTAAACCTTAGGCCACAATCCTTCATTTGCTTCTGCACTTTGTCGGCCACAATAGCCATTTCTCTCTCAATCCCACACCTGAAACAAACAAAGTGGTCCTGATAGACCATTGACTTCTTTCCTTCAACCAGAAGTTCTTTCCTCAGGTTGTGAACTCTTTCCAGCTCACTTAATAACACTCTTGGATTCTTGGTTTGATCATTCAGCTTAGTAGACACCATGTTTATGTCCACTAATAGCCATAACCCCTTTGTCCTTTTTAGTATATTTTAACATTCCTTTTTGAATTACCTAGATAGATAGAATACAGACACTAGAATAATTTCCTATTTAAGCATCTACCTGTGAGCTGAGATAACATCTTGTATAATGTATCTGTGTAGCCAGTCAATATTCCCACACATATAATCAAAGATGATCCTTGACCTGAAGCACACATTACAAGTCAGAAACATGAAAAATGATGCACCTTATATGACTAACATAATGAATATACAAATTCTTTTGGCTGACTTGTATGCCTTGAGAAAGTTAGGCATGTCAATCACAATTTAATTGAATCTTGCATTGGACTCCTTACATTCTAATCTTTCCTAGAATCACTTAATCCTGATAGTGCATAGAAATCATAGAGCAACTAGATTGTAGCATGATCTGAAGGTCGTGCACTGGATACCTAGCATTCATATTGATTTTCTAGGTTGTGCACGAAACTTCAAGCAGTTATATTGTTTTTGAAAACTATTCTCTAATTTAGGAAAATAAAGATAACATGAAAAAGCATCTGGTGATATGGTCCAAAGGTTCTTTTAGAGGGAAAAAGTGGTAAGGGTATTTTTTGAGTTTTGATGAATAGTTATTCACATTTCAGGAACTTGCTGATATATTGGAAGCAACACAAATAGAAAAGTGCTAAAGGTTTTTGCTTTTTCATTTTCTTACATTCTTAGAAATGAAGAAGATTATGTCCTCAAGCCATCAAAAGAGAGAAGTTTCTTTACCCTCCAGAAAATTACCTTTCAGCGGCTAATAATTAGTTCACCCAGACGAATACAAAAGAGGGTAAGTCCATCAAAACTATTTCCTATTTATTAACCACAATAGGAGATCAAGAAAAATAAAATAAAAAAAATAGTGATGAGAGGAAGCAAAAAGCATGTAGCCGACCCCATTTGATGGGACTTAAGGCTTGGTTTGGTTTGGTAAGGAAGCAGAAAGCATGGTTTTCAAGATGTATAGAACCTCTAGTTGAAAGTGCATGGGATACATTCAAATGGAAATTCACCATAATAACCACATAACATTTCATATATTAATCTTTTCACAACAGATCTTTTTTATTTTTTTTGATAAATTATTTTCACAACAGAACTTAGAATTACAGTCCTTAAGAAAACTCCGATCCATTTTTCCACAATCTATATTCCTACCTAGGTTTCATCTTCCTTTCCCCTTTTAGTAGAGGTATTCACGAATAAAACAAGCAGCAATCCATTTTAGGTTTATTCGTTGGTAATCCATGATCAACTTCCTTCCACAGCACCCTACACCCAGGGGAAGTCAAATTCCCACTGCCTCTATTGCGGGAAAGGGATAATGCCTAAGTTCAAGTTGTTAATTATATTCTTTATGGAAATTGAAGGAGCCAACCCCCCACCAGCACAATATTGTCCGCTTGGGACCTCACAGTTTTTTTCTTCCCTTTGTGCTAGTTAGAAGGAGTTAGTCAGCTTATAAGATGGAATGTGATACTCTCACAGAGCGATGCGGGATGCACTCACAGAAACAATAAACCAATTCAAGGAATTTCTAACACATGTATTCAATTAGTTCATAAAGATAAATTCCAATGGTGTCACATAAGAAAAACTGACAAAACCAGACATACCGACTCAATTGGTCACCAAACAAAACATATACTATGATCAGAAAGGCACAAAAAACAGTCAAAAATAAGTAAACCACAGAAAATAAGAAATCAAGCCAAAAAAGTTGTATCCAAATGCCAAGAATACTACCAAATCCAGATTCCGATATTTTGTCACATATCCATGTTATAGTCATTGCACCACACACCAAAAGAAAACTTGTCACCATTACATGCTTCACCCTGCAAATAGCATATAACGTAACAAAACACATGCCCTTTTAAGAGACCAATCAGAAACAAGCTAATAATTTTGTCAAATCATTCACTAATTTACTTAAACAAATTAAACATGAGATTCTACTTACAAAATTACCTGTGACTAGCTGCATAGATGGAATATGGAAGAGAATAACAAGCAAGAATCAGAGCCTCCAGAATAGCAAAGCCAAGTGACAGCCACCATCTGGAGAGATAAATTACCACACACACACAAAAAAAGAAGTCAATATGGCTTGCAACCTTCATTGTAATGACCAATAACAGAATTGGCTATAAATAGCAAGGACTCGTATCACTGCTTGAAATGAATAACTAAACACACATATAACTCTTTATCTTTTCGTGACCATCCAAGCCTTCTTTCCGCAGCTTCACCAAGGTGGGAACAACGTGACAAAGTACCTAGAAACATGATTGGTCATATAGTATTAGTATTGAATGACAAGTTCAATAGTGAAAAGGTGAAAGACCAAATGACGACAACAATCAAGTTAAGACATAATGAACATGATGGGAGAAACTTCGGCAGAAAGCATGTAATCAGTAGCATTCTTATTTCAAGTAGGAGAGCAGATATCACACTGTCAGTAAGAAAACTACAAAAATTGAAGATGAGCATGTTGAATTGAGCTGCACAAGTCGTACATCATCCAGTTGATAAGCATTAAAAGTAATGTTGATTTGAACAATAGCAACATATAACATGGCTTTCATGGTAGTAGAAGAATAGAGCTCCATAGAACAAAAGTATTTGACAAACAGCTTCTCTCAATTGGACATTTTCTCCCCTTTGGATGATGACTACTTCCTACTGATGCATGCAATCACCCATAAAAAGACGTGCATCACGTGAGCCTAGCTGAGAGAGAAGTAACATTAATCTACGTAAAACAAGGTATACCTTTTATAAAGGAATAGCTTATCTCAAGTTGCCTACAAAGCTTTCTCCATACCAATGATGTGAAGCTAAAATTTGAAACGTCTGTAGATTATAGTACATATTATTGCCTAATTTTTTATGAAGAAACAACTTATCTCAAGTTGCGTACAAAGCTTCTCCGAACCAATGATATGAAGCTAAAATTTGAAGCATCTGTAGATTTCAGTACATATTATTGCCTAAATTTTGCATGAAGAAACAAATTCTGCAGAAAATAAGAGTAGCTTTAAAGCAAGTTGCAAAACATATATTACCACACAGAATCTATTAATTTCGTGACATTTCATCTAATGTAACACGAAGAACCTTCAGCATCCAAATTATTGTGCTAATGTTCAACACCAGAATGGAGTGAGGAAATAAAACAAATAACAAAAACACAGAATCAATCAGGACATCACAATAGAGTCTTAATTAATGGACAAGAAATGTAAACCTGGGGATAAAAGAACAGCAGACCTGCATGAGAATTGATGCAGCAATCTGAGGACTGATTCCAAGTTGGAAAAGGGAAAGCTTAAGTTCAGCCGTGAAATCTCCGAGTTCATCTAAAAAAAAGGATGCATAAATAATCTTTTTCAAGAACAAAATGAGAAAAAGAAACAAGAGTTCTTTCGTTAAAGAATCCAGCTTTCAACCAGAACAGCAATGGTACATTACAACGGCTACCAGTTTACTTTTAAACAAAAAATAAGCATTCCCAATTTAGACATCACCGTTCAGACCATTAGGAAAACTATTTTGAATAAAGCAACTAAAACTTGTAATTTTGGATTACTTACCAACAGATCCTGAGACAAAGCTAAGGTAGTCCTCCGGTATCAACCTTCTATCAAATCCTGGCAAAGGAATAAAATAACCAACACGACTGATCACAATTAACACAGCTGTCACAAATAACCTCCGCCGTATTTCACTCTTGAAAAAAGATTCAGCAGCATTATTGAGGACTGAACCAAGGCGTACAAAGTCCAAAAAGCGATTTTTAAACATTTTGGGCTTGGACTGCAAGGTTCCAAAGTCATCTGTATCATGTGAACTGGTTAGATAAGCCCCATCATCATTTTGTTGCAAAACAATTTCAGGACTTTGGAGTTGATTCGAAACACATGCACAAGATCTTTTGATTTCTTTTGGTAAAAAGGGTTCATTGAACAATACAAAACGCCTCCGGTTGAAACCTGAAGAATTTGTCTTCAGGGAAATGTGTGTTGGAGCATAAAATGGTAATCGATGATACAACTGCAGATTGTGTACAGCCTGCCCACCTGTATGCCACATACAAGTTCCAAATTTAGCCCAAATGCATACCAGTCCAGGGTGAAAAAATTTTAGTAAATTAGTAATTAGATCATGGCATTAAGCCAGGCTATTTGCTGTAAGGCAAATAATGGAATGGAATGGAATGCGAATCTCATGGATTAATAATCCCAGTACTACGCTATAATCCGCCCAATCAAACAAACCCTTAAGAAGACACATACACATCCATATACCTTGTTTTACATTGCAACCGATTGTTGCCCCTGCTCCATCACAAGCTACTGCTTGTCTTTGGTCCAAGTGAAAACTTTTACCACTCCAAAATCCCTCACTTTCACATCACCATAAATTGTTTACTTTAAACTGAGTCCCATAGTCACGATACTCACTTCTTTTTTTTATCAGCTAAAGCCAATTGTTCGTCACAATATTCACCTTGTTAAAAATTTAAACTTTCTAATAAATTTAAGCAACAAAAAGCCAAGAAAAAAAAAAAAAATGAAGCATACATAGTCGAATATATTTTCTTTTTCTTTCCTTCGCATTCGATTTCTCTCGAACCAAACAGAGAATAAACAAGTAACAGAAGAGTAGCAGTTACCTCCACTATTGAGGCGTTTGGTTCTGAAGAATAGGGGATTGAAATGGTGAGACAATGCCAGAGTCGCCTCCATTGGCGAAACTCGCTCGCAGACTCAGGCACAGGCAAAGTATAAAAACACTATACTACTGGCTAAATAAATACCTAGGGTTTCAAAAAATTTCACTGGTTAATTTTCGAACTCGTCTTCTTTCCGAGTAGATTTCCAGGCTCCAAGAGATACGTAGACTTCAAATTTGATTTCCGGAAATCGCTCCCTTTTCCGGCGAGTTTTTTCAACTTTTCTTCGATTTTTAGCTTCAATCGTTTCCTTATGAGCTCACAGTAGTTGAATTGAAGGCTGGTGGTGGGATTGGGGGAGGCTTCTTTTTCCGGCGAGATTTTCAGTTTTCCGGTGGTGGTTTCCTTATTGGCTCACGCAGTTGAAGGCATAGTGGTAGTAGGGTGGGGAGTGGGGTGGCGTTGGTGAAGGATTTTTCTACGATACATGAAGGTGGATACATAAATAATTTTGGATCATTAGATGTAAAGGTAAACTAAATCTAATCATTGATTGATAATAATAAAATTAGGTTAAGAAGTTTAGATAATTTCGTAAAAAATAAGATAATTTTTAATGGTTTTGAAATAAAAAAGTGATTTTTAACTTACCACAATAAATAAATATACTTACTATTTGATGTGATTATACTTACTATTATTAATAATTATAACCTGCTATTCAGATAACAGGTAAACTTAAAAAATTAAGTTATAATAAATTTTCAAAATCTCTAAAATAAATATAAAATTTATAAAATAGAATTTAAGAAAAAAATAAACAAAATAAATTTGAATTCTAAACATTTTATTATAATTTATTACATTTTATGAAATATGATTTTTTATTTATTTATCTACTTAATAGCAATAAATGAAATCTAATTTCCTTTTCGTTTATCACACTTGAAAATAATAAATGCAATTAATAAGAAATATAAGTAATAAAATATAGAAAAAATTATCATTTATTTGAGGGTTCCATGAACAAAATTTTATGTTTATTTTTAAATTTTTTGAATATTTGAAGATTTAAAGATAAGATTGTTGTTGATTTGGAATTCCTTAGGTAAAAATCTATGTCTCTATCGTCTCTATCTCTTTTTTTACATTAACTTTCTATGATATTTTGAATTTATAAATTTTAATATTCTGTTGGAACAACATTTCACCTAGTTAAAAGAAAAATTATGAGATTTAAGTAGTAAAAAAAAAAAATCAAGTTTGATGAAATAGTAAGTGCAATCTTAAGTTTAGTTTAAATAATTAATTAATCAAGTCTACTAAAATAGTAAGTAGAGTCCCATTGAGTAGTAAGTATTATTTAAATGATGAGTCAAGTTTGATAAAGTAGTAAGTAGAGTCTAATTGAGTAGTAAGTGTTATTTAAGTGATGAGTCAAGTTTAATAAAGTAATAAGTAGAGTCTCATTGAGTAGTAAGTGTTATTTAAATGAGTAGTAAGTCAAGTCTGATAAAATAATAAATAGAGTCTCATTGAGTAATAAATGTGGTTTAAATGAGTGGTAAGTAAGTCTGATAAAATAGTAAGTATGGTTTAAATGAGTGTTTTTCAATTTATTACAACAACAAAACACATTTACTACTTGATATAGTTGTAATTATTCCACATAACTACACTTACCATTCAAACATTAATAAAATACATCAGTGTAATGTCAAAATAAAGAGACTTAGATATAAAATCTAAAGCCGTGTTGCTTGAAGGGTAATAGAAAGACAACAAAAGAACCATGCAAGTTTTGTTACACTGACCACAGTAAGATCAAAAGGCAATATTATTAGTTACAACTTTTTGAACTCTGCTCAAAGTGACTACATCAACAAAGGACAAGTATAACTATGAAAGCAAAAAGACCAGGAACTAACAGACCTTAATTAATAACAAGCGGGTAGGAAGTTAAGAAATGATCCGGAATTAGAATATAAACTGATGCAGATTAGAATATTTTCTTTTTACTTTCACTTCCATTATATTTTGAATTTATAAATTTTTATGTTTTGTTGGAACAACATTTCACCTAATTAAAAGAAAAATTATGAGATTCAAGTAGTAAGGGGAAAAAAAAAATCAAGTTTGATGAAATAGTAAATGTAGTCTTAAGTTTAGTTTAAATGATTGATAAGTCAAGGATGTTCATTTCTAAAACTTTCGGAGATTTTAAGATAAAATTGTTGTTGATTTAGAACTTCTTAGGTAAGTTTCTCTCTTTTTACTTTCACTTCCATTATATTTTGAATTTATAAATTTTTATGTTTTGTTGGAATAATATTTTAGTTAGTTAAAAGAAAAATTTTGAGATTCAAGTGGTAAGAAAAAAAAAAATCAAATTTGATGAAATAGTAAATGTAGTCTTAAATTTAGTTTAAATGATTGATAAGTCAAGTCTAATAAAGCAGTAAGTAGAGTCTCATTGAGTAAGTATTGTTTAAATGAGTGATAAGTCAAGTTTGATAAAGTAGTAAGTATAATCTTATTGAGTAGTAAGTGTGGCTTAAATGAGTAGTAAATCAAGTCTGATAAAGTAGTAAGGATAGTCTCATTGAGTAGTAAGTGTAATTCAAATGAGTGGTAAGTCAAGTCTGATAAAGTAATAAGTATGGTTTAAATGAGTTGTAGGCCAAATATTGAGTAGTAGGTATGGTTTAAATAAGTGGTAAGTCAAGTCTGATAAAATAGTAAGTACAGTCTCATTGACAAGTAAGTGTGGTTTAAATGGCTGATAAGTCAAGTTTGATAAAGTAGTAAGTAGAGTCTCATTGAGTAGTAAGTGTAATTCTGATAGAGTAGTAAGTACAGTCTCATTGAGTAGTAAGTGTGGTTTAAATGAGTTAAGTTTGATAAAATAATAAGTAAAGTCTTATTAAGTAGTAAGTGTTATTTAAATGACTGATAAGTCAAGTTTGATAAAGTAGTAAGTAGAGTCTCATTGAATAGTAAATGTGATTCAAATGAGCGGTAAGTCAAGTCTAATAAAGTAGTAAGTATGGTTTAAATGAGTGGTGAGTCAAGTCTGATGAAATAGTAAGTACAGTCTCATTGACTAGTAAGTGTGGTTTAAATGGATGATAAGTCAAATTTGATAAAGTAGTAAGTAGAGTCCCATTGAGTAGTAAGTGTAATTCTGATAGAGTAGTAACTACAGTCTCATTGAGTAGTAAGTGTGGTTTAATTGAGTTAAGTCTGATAAAATAATAAGTAAAGTCTTATTAAGTAGTAAGTGTTGTTTAAATGACTGATAAGTCAAGTTTGATAAAGTAGTAAGTAGAGTCTCGTTGAATAGTAAATGTGATTCAAATGAGCGGTAAGTCAAGTCTAATAAAGTAGTAAGTATGGTTTAAATAAGTGGTGAGTCAAGTCTGATGAAATAGTAAGTACAGTCTCATTGACTAGTAAGTGTGGTTTAAATGGATGATAAGTCAAGTTTGATAAAGTAGTAAGTAGAGTCTCATTGAGTAGTAAGTGTAATTCTGATAAAGTAGTAAGTACAGTCTCATTGAGTAGTAAGTATGGTTTAAATGAGTTTAATTATCATTCAAAAACACAACACTTGCCATTCATTCTCATTCTACTAGTAACTCTTTGTGACTCAACTTACTACTTACCATCTATTTTACCACCTAGTATTTTACTTATCATTTTCTACTTGCTTTTTCTTAATTAATTTGTTTATGCTTATTGCAGATGGAAGACAACACTGAGCAAAACAAGAATAACATTATATATGAACTAGTTGATGATGACGGTAATGATGGTGAGTATAATATTCATAACGAAGATAATATCGTCAATTCTAATAATATTCCAACCGAAAGAGATATTAAGCGTCTAGATGAATTAACTGAAAAGGATGTGTTTGAAATGACATTTGATTCAGAAGAAAACGGAGAAAGATTTTATAATTCGTATGCTAAGGTGAACGGCTTTAGTATTCGAAGGGATCAATTGTATAAGGACAAGAATAATATGGTTATATCAAGGAGTTGGGTATGTTCAAAAGAAGGATATAGACAATCCAAATACCTTGAGGTTGAAGAACGTAAAAGAGAACCAAAACAATTAACTAGAGTTGGTTGTCGTGCTTGTTTTCGTATCAAATACAATCGGAGTACTTCCAAATATGAAGTGAATGAATTTTTCAAGGAGCACAATCATTCCATGATAGGGCCTCTTGGTGTTCAATTTCTTCGCTCACACCGGAATGTTACGAGTGCCGACAAGGCATAAGGCAATGCAATGCATCATATTGGTATGAGGACAAGTCACATTATGGACTTTGCTGCACAACAAGCAGGTGGTTATGAGAATGTTGGGTTCATACAGAAGGACATGTACAACCATTTTGGGACTGAGCGTAGAGTGCAAGTTGTCGATGGTGACGCAGAAGGTGCTTTGGCTTACTTATGTGGTAAAGAAGAGCAAGATCCAATGTTTTATTATAAATATGATGTAGATGAAGAAAATCGATTAAATAATTTGTTTTGGATTGATGGTGGATCTCGAACAGATTATCTGTATTTTGGTGATGTGTTGATGTTTGATACTACGTATCGGACAAATGCGTACAACAAACCTTTTGTGATATTACAAGGTGTGAGCAACCACTTTCAAACGACTATTTTTGGGTGTGCACTGTTAGCTTCCGAGACAGTAGAGACATACATATGGGTGTTAGAGAAATTTCTTGATGCAATGGATCACAAGATGCCTCTGTCCGTAATCACTGACGGGGATAAGGCCATGTGTAGAGCAATCAAAACAGTTATGCCTACTGCTCGACATCGATTATGTAAATGGCATCTTAAAATGAATGCTCTTTCCAATATCCACATAGAGGGATTTCTTCATAACTTTGAAAAATGCATGTCAATGCAATGTACACAAGAAATGTTTGAATTAGAGTGGAAGAACCTCGTAGACAAGTATGGCCTTCATAATAACAAGTGGATTGCAGATGTATATTGCAAGCGTACTCTATGGGCTGAAGCATACCTCCATGGACATTTCTTTGCTGGTGCAAAAAGCACGCAACGTTGTGAGAGTATGAATGCATTTTTGAATCGATTCCTAAAGGTGCGCCTAAGGCTCTTTGAATTTGTAAGGGCATATGATAGAGCACTTGCAAGACTTCGCCATAACGAAGCTAAGGCACAATCCGAAACTGAGAATACCACTCCTATTCTTTCTACAGGTATGAAAAGGATTGAAAGACATGCAGCTGATATATTTACTCGTGCCATATTTTTCAAATTTCGCGAACAAATAAAATCCGAGCAAGTGTTATTTATGTCAGGAAAAACTGATATAGAAGATATTCACGTATACTATTTGTCTATGTATACACATCCAGAATCCACATGGAATGTACAATATCGACCAAGTGATCATGCCATGAATCATGAATGGGTTACGCAAACAACACGGTTCGGTGCATTGTCAAGTGCATATACTGAGATGTGCTATTATGCTTCGCACTTAACCAATGGATACGAAGAAGCTAGGGATGCAGTGACAAAGTTAACATGTCGAATGAAAGATTTGTATGTCCAACATGTTGAAGGAAATGGAACAAAAGGAAAAGCTAATGTTAAAGGGACATGTTTACATTTAGTGTTGGTGATCCTCCCTTTACAAAGACGAAGGGAAGTCGTTCTGTTGCAAATGATAAGTTTTCAAAGCCAAGAAAATGTGGTCATTGCAGGTATCTAACAATTTAATTTATCTAGTAAGTGTATTGAATTATAATTAAATTTATATCCTAAGTGTAATGTGTTTTGTTACCGAGGTACTGGTCATACGAGGAATAAGTGTCCAAAACTAGAAAATGAGAATATTGATTCTTTTCCTACACAAGATACTTATGTATCAGGGGCAAGCATGTTGCACCAAGAAGGTGGTTTCAATGTCGACCTTACTTTTACTAATAGTGACTACAATATAATGGGATATGGTTCCAATGGGCACCCTACTTTTGTTGGAACTGACTACAATATAATGGGATGCGATTCCAATATCTATCCTAACTTTGTGGTAATAATTTTTTATTTAACTTTTATTCACAAAATTTATGTTTCAGAATTTATTAATTATTAGTTACATTATGTAGGTACGTACATGCTCAGAAACTCCTGACAGCATTTATGGCCGTGTCGTAGGAGGGACAATTGACTTGTCAAAGTGATTGTAACAATCTTTGAGACAATCAAAGCAATCAGCCTTATATTTTGATTTTTTGTGTGACATTACTCGTTTGTATAAGGCTTATATTTATAAGGCATGTGACTTTTTATATGTATAAGACAAATGATAGTGTAAGACTTTTACTATTCTCAAACACAATACTTACCACTATGATTTCATTCATCATAATCATAACAACGTAATGGTAAGTAATGTAGTAAGTGGAGTCTATTTTAAGTAGTAGTAAGTAAGGTTTATTTGAGTGGTAAGTCAAACCCAACAAACTGGTAAATAGAGTCTTCATGACTAGTAAGTATGATTGAATAAAATGGTAAGCCAAGAGTAATGAAGTAGTAAGTGGAGTTTATTTGAGTGGTAGTAAGTGAGAATTATTTTAGTGGTAAGTTAAGTCTAATAAATTAGTAAGTAGAGTCTTTTTAACTAGTAAGTAAGATTGAATAAAATGGTAAGTAAAGAGTAATAAAGTAGTAAGTGGAGTTTATTTGAGTGGTAGTAAGTGAGACTTATTTGAGTGATAAATTAAGTCTAATAAACTAGTAAGTAGAGTCTTTTTTAACTAGTAAGTATGATTGAATAAAATAGTAAGCAAAGAGTAATAAAGTAGTAAGTGGAGTTTATTTGAGTGGTAGTAAGTGAAGCTTATTTGAGTTGTAAGTTAAGTCTAATAAACTAGTAAGTAGAGTCTTTTTTAACTAGTAAGTATGATTGAATAAAATAGTAAGCAAAGAGTAATAAAGTAGTAAGTGGAGTTTATTTGAGTGGTAGTAAGTGAAGCTTATTTGAGTTGTAAGTTAAGTCTAATAAACTAGTAAGTAGAGTCTTTTTTAACTAGTAAGTATGATTGAATAAAATAGTAAGCAAAGAGTAATAAAGTAGTAAGTGGAGTTTATTTGAGTGGTAGTAAGTGAAGCTTATTTGAGTTGTAAGTTAAGTCTAATAAACTAGTAAGTAGAGTCTTTTTTAACTAGTAAGTATGATTGAATAAAATAGTAAGCAAAGAGTAATAAAGTAGTAAGTGGAGTTTATTTGAGTGGTAGTAAGTGAAGCTTATTTGAGTTGTAAGTTAAGTCTAATAAACTAGTAAGTAGAGTCTTTTTTAACTAGTAAGTATGATTGAATAAAATAGTAAGCAAAGAGTAATAAAGTAGTAAGTGGAGTTTATTTGAGTGGTAGTAAGTGAAGCTTATTTGAGTTGTAAGTTAAGTCTAATAAACTAGTAAGTAGAGTCTTTTTTAACTAGTAAGTATGATTGAATAAAATAGTAAGTAAAGAGTAATAAAGTAGTAAGTGGAGTTTATTTGAGTGGTAGTAAGTGAAGCTTATTTGAGTAGTAAGTTAAGTCTAATAAACTAGTAAGTAGAGTCTTTTTTAACTAGTAAGTATGATTGAATAAAATAGTAAGTAAAGAGTAATAAAGTAGTAAGTGGAGTTTATTTGAGTGGTAGTAAGTGAGACTTATTTGAGTAGTAAGTTAAGTCTAATAAACTAGTAAGTAGAGTCTTTTTTAACTAGTAAGTATGATTGAATAAAATAGTAAGCAAAGAGTAATAAAGTAGTAAGTGGAATTTATTTGAGTGGTAGTAAGTGAAGCTTATTTGAGTTGTAAGTTAAGTCTAATAAACTTGTAAGTAGAGTCTTTTTAACTAGTAAGTATGGTTGAATAAAATGGTAAGTAAAGAATAATGAAATTGTAAGTGGAGTCATTGAAGTATAATAAAGTGGTAAGTCATAATTAATTTAAACCCTGCCCATGTACAATCCAAATCCAAATTACTAAAAAACGACAAAAATCATACGATTAAAATCCATTTGCTCTACATCCTCCCTAAAACAAATTCAGTTGAAATTCACATAATTCAAGTATGAACATGCAACAACATCAATGATACATGACAATTATCTATCACAAGCCAATTCTATCACTCTTGACCCAATTTTATTGTTTGCATCTCAAACTAAGCCCAGTGCTAATCTTTGTCTAGCATCCCACGAGTCAAATTGAAGCAAACAAGCTTCGGAATCAATAAATTGCACCAATTCAAAATACTTAATGACATGCATTCCACAATCATAGCCATTACTTTGTTGTGGAAGCTATTCAAGTGTTCTAATTGGAAACTTGGTAATTTTATTTGTATATGCATTCTTGTACTGAATTCCCAATAAGTCATGTAACACTTCAACCTGTTATTTACATAACTAATTAGTAGGAAAACATGCAATACAAAATACAAATAACGACATTGTACAAGGATATATACCACTTTTTTTACTTGAGTTGGCCGAGTTCTACTTCTTCTTGATATATACGGATCAAGGATATATACCACTTGTTGTCGCATGTATACCACACACATATACCAATGTTCACCCGCATCATTAATTGGAATGTACACCTATATTAAATCAATAATCAGCACTATCATATTCATTAACATATTAAACAAAAGTAAAGTGAGATAATAACAAATCAATACCCTTTCACATGATTCAATTTTTCCCGTGTACCGTTTTGTTCCAAAATAGGACTTGAGCATGTTTGGCTTATGAACCTTGTGTTGCAAAATATGTTGCTACAACTCATAAAAATTAGTATAAATATCAATAACACAAACTACGTAGTCCAATGCTTTTAATTGTAAAATGCATAAGTAAATTACCGAAAAATATGTAGGTAGATACCACGCTGGATATTTTGCATCTGGGATATGATCCTTTTGCTTTAATGTAAATTGCAAAGCAACTAAAGTAATTATTTAAGAAACAACAACTCATCAATAAATGCAATTATCTTGTACATTATAAATTCATTTGAGCAATGGTTTACTACTTACTTGTCCATCAAGCCAACAACCACGATCTAATGTCCATATGTTTTTGCGCGTTCCATGTTGAATATCAAAGTTAATAAGAATTTCACTATCATATTAATTAAGTGATACATGTCAATGTGACAATATAAATACATAAAACATAAAAGAAAATATTTCTTGAAAGAAATAGAACCTTTCCAATTTACTACGATGAAACAAATAGTCTCTTATCAATTTATCCTCAACTGAAAGCGGTGGCAAATCAAATCCTTTCATGGGAGTTGGCATACTCAACAACTCAGAAATTTGTTTTTAACCAATAATTAATAACATTTTCATAAAGTATGTAATTGAATATTCTCCTAAAAATGAGTTTCTATAAGAAAACATAAGTATACCTTTATCGAATGTTGTTCAGGAAACACAACAACTTGTTTATTTTTCATTGTAGCTTCCTGTATAACATAAATCAGTCCGTGACTAAGTTCATTTGTAATGAATTATTTTTAAAAAAATTGTTATGTGTACAAATATTATTTATTACCTCTTGTGCATATTTAGGCAACATGTCAAGTTGTTTGCTTGTTATATTATATTTCTACATAACACAAATAAATCAATAACTACTTTCAATTCTAACAACAAAACAAAACAAATAGTAATAATAATAATAATAATAATAATAATGTATTTTACCTTGCCAAGTTCAACATCATAGGGTGAGAGTATATGTTTGCTTTTTTTTCGTTTGCTTTCCCTCCTAAGCTTCATATGATAAGGCAAAACTGTTGAAGACTCAGCACCATCATCTACCGGAATTGACCTTTTTAAAATCACTTTTGGTAACTTTGGTGGTAGTAGCTCATGTTCACTAAAAAATGGGACAAATGGAGATATGGATGATGTGAACTGATTACTTAATGGAATCTTAGGCAATCCCTCATTTTCTTGTTTTAGTTGTTTATCCATAGGAGACGTACGATCTTGGAAAGCATAAGGTGGGGGACTCCATTTGTCATCCAAGATATCTTCATTTTTCAATTGACAATCGATATCATGAGAGTAATCACCTCATCTATCCAATATACTAAACGAGGTGCTTTTCTACTTGCACATGGATTAACAAAATCTACAGCAGGTGTCACATGCTCAACGTAGAATAATTACATGATATGGTTATGTAATGATTAGTAAGTTCAAGAATGCACTAAATAGACAATCATTTGTTTACCATGATTTAGAAACATACCATCAGAAAAAACAAGCAACCTCGAATTCCTCGTTGTCCCTTTCCTTCTCCTTTGTCCTTGTACTTTCGCACACCATCGACTAAAAAGTCTAAGACGAGTTTTGACCAATTTAACTTATGTAAAGAAGACATATCTTTCAAGGAATGGAGAAAACAACGATTTATTGACAACTCCGATGTAGGGCACAAAAGAGAACCTAGAATGTACAATACAAATCTTCCCTTAAAATCATCCCCGTCTACTTTCATATCAAACAACTCATTCCTTAAAGACCTCAATGAAATAGAACCACACTTCTTAACACCATACTTGTTCGACAACTCTTCAATATCAGTGTGGTCCCCATTTACGTTTATAATTGATCCCTCACAAGGAAGTCCTAATATGTGGCTTACATCAAATGGTGTTATAATTATTCTTTTACCATGAACGAATAAACACCGAGATGTATGATCAAAACAACCAACCAACCATTCACAGAGTTGTCGTGGCAATCTCGTGCATTTAAGCTCTAATAAACCTCCAAAGCCAATTGATTTGATAGCTTCTTTTTGTAATGGTTGAAGCAATTGTATTAACTCATAAACTGAGTTCAATGCTGTCCGAGTTGTCATGGTTAGCTAAACACAATAACAAAAAAGAAGTAGTAAGTAGAGTCTCATTGAGTAAGTATTGTTTAAATGAGTGATAAGTCAAATCTAATAAAGCAGTAAGTAGAGTCTCATTGAGTAAGTATTGTTTAAATGAGTGATGAGTCAAGTTTGATAAAGTAATAAGTATAATCTTATTGAGTAGTAAGTGTGGCTTAAATGAGTAGTAAGTCAAGTTTGATAAAGTAGTAAGGATAGTTTCATTGAGTAGTAAGTGTAATTTAAATGAGTGGTAAGTCAAGTCTGATAAAGAAGTAAGTACAGTCTTATTGAGTAGTAAGTATAGTTTAAATGAGTGGTAAGTCAAGTATTGAGTAGTAGGTATGGTTTAAATGAGTGCTAAGTCAAGTCTGATGAAATAGTAAGTACAGTCTCATTGAATAGTAAGTGTGGTTTAAATTGCTGATAAGTCAAGTTTGATAAAGTAATAAGTAGAGTCTCATTGAGTAGTAAGTGTGATTCTGATAAAGTAGTAAGTACAGTCTCATTGAGTAGTAAGTTTGGTTTAAATGAGTTAAGTCTGATAAAATAATAAGTAGAGTGTTATTAAGTAGTAAGTGTTGTTTAAATGACTAATACATCAAGTTTAATAGACTATCTTACTTTTAAAAATATAAACAACAAAGAATGAGATAATACAAAAAATTCATAACTATGAGAAATTAATAAAAAAAACTCAACCATTTATTGTCTAGCAAAAAGTGTCAAAGTCCCCATTACCCACCAATGGGACAATTTGTCAACCATTCAAGTTCCTCAATTCCAAAAACAAACAAAGTGCATAAATGATAAAGAAAAAGAAAAAAAGAAAGAACATAAAAAATACAAATGGGACCACCACGAACCATCTTACTTTAAAAAAATAAGTAACAAAGCATATGAGACAACACAAAAATATGTAGGTAGATACCACACATCTGGCATACAATGAAAATTTAAATTCCAAAACATACCATGAAAATTTAATCCTACATTAAAACATTACAATTAAACCATACTATTAATATCATTAATTTTTTATAGTGTTCTTTCATTTCATTCTATAAATATTGTGTATATATACCTTTTAGATTACTCACTCAAGCCTAGCAAAAGCACCCAGTCCCAATTACTCACTAGTAGGACAATTAATCAAGCCTACATATCCCTCTATTCTTCTATAAACAAAAATAGTAATAGAAATGGGGCCATCATGGGCTATCTTGCTTTAAAATAAAATAAAAAAAAATAGTAACAGAACAAAAAATCACAAATAGGACCACATGAACTATCTTAATTTGAAAAATAAAACCAATAAAGCATATGAGACCACACAAAAAATTCATAGCCACATATAGACAATCTCCAAAGCAAACTAGTAATACATATGTGACCACCATGGACTATCTTACTTCAAAAAAAAAAAAAAATAGAAATAAGACCCAACGACAAAAGAAAAAAAAAACACAAATGGGACCACCATAGACTATGTTACTTTTAAAAATATAAACAATAAAGCATGAGACAATACAAAAAATTCATAACCACGAGAAATTAATAAGAAAAACTCAACTATTTATTATCTAACAAAAAGTGTCAAAGTCTCCATTACCCACCAATGAGACAATTTGTCAACAATTCATGTCTTCATTCCGAAAACAAACAAGTGCATAAATGATAAAGAAAAAAAAAACATAAACAACACAAATGGGACCACCATGGACCATCTACTCAAAAAATAAAAAATAAAAAAAAATAACAAAGCATATGAGACAACACAAAATTCATATCCACAAACAAACAAACTCCAAAGCATATGAGACAATCATATATTTAGTATTCTAGAAAGATTTGGGGATTAAGGGAAAAAATTCCACCTCCAACCATACACTAAAAATTCAAAAAAAATACCATATATAAATTTAATATATATTCACACATCAAATTAGTTCAAATTTGGAATAAATTAATAACTAAACCGGTTTCTACAATTTCAGAAAAATTGAAATCGTAATTAAATACTGAATCAAAACTGAATCATAAAAATTGGTTCGGTTTGGTTCGGTTCAATTTGATTCAATAATTCTGAAAATTTTATATAATAATAAATATATTATATATTATTTTAGTAATTAAACTAAGTTGGTTAGACTAGTTTAAAACAAACAAAAAATTGGAAAAAAAAATATTCTAAGAGGCCATGCGAAATATTTAAAAAATTGAAAAAAAAAATCATGATTATTGGTTTATTAGTAGTAAAATGTGGAGGATGCTTCATGTTTGACAAGAGTATTTGAAGGGGCTAAATCTACAATTTTGAAGGGGCTAAAACCATCTACTTTTGTCGAACAAAAAAATCAAAAAAAAAAAAAATTTATAAAGCAGAGAAATCCCCCCCCCAAAAAAGCAGCCAACTATCTATTTACTTTTGCCTTTGATTTTGAACAAAAAAAATCAATGACAAGAAAACAGGTTTAGAGACTAGAGAAACCCAAAAAAACTAAAACCAATTTACCCATCTACTTTTGTCTATAGTTTGGAACCAAAAAAAAAAAAGAAAACACTTTCACTTTCTAGATGATTTTGAAAAAGAAAAAAAAATCAAAAATACAAAAAATACAAAAAATACAAAAAAAAAAAAACACTTTCCACATGATTGAAGTTGATATTTCCAAATCTTACCAAAGAAACAAGGCAGATAATTTTGTGGAGCCTACAAATACAAAATGCCTATTCTATGTGGATTGTGCAATTATTTTTTTGTTTTTATTTTTATTTTTATTTTTTGATATGCATATTCGCTCCTCATTATACTACTCTAGGCAAATATGAAACTAAATAAAAAGAAGTTTGCATCTCCACTGTGAACTGAGTGTGAAAATCAAAAGGAAAAAAAAAGTTTAAAAAGCAAACCATTTTCTTCTTTCTCCTATCAAAGGAAGCCATTAACAGAGCTTTTTGTATTGTCAAGGATCTTCAAGCGATGAGTGGCGAGAATCAATGTCGAGGTTGCGCCGGTGGTGGTAGAACAACAGTATCGAGGCGGCGAGAGGCGACGGGGTGTGAGAGAGAAGGGTTTGTAGACACCCTAACACACAGTAGAGAGAGAGAAGAAGAGAGTAAACAAGGGTCCTAACACAATAGAGAGAAAGAAGAAGAAACAAAAAATAACACAGTAGAGAGAGAATAGAGTACAAGATGAGCAGTACAATACCAGATGTTTTTTTTTTTTTTTAAACTAATTTGTTTTGATTTTGAATGGCTAAGATTTAAAGGCTCACGCAGTTGAAGGCATAGTGGTAGTAGGGTGGGGAGTGGGGTGGCGTTGGTGAAAGGATGTGAGCAGCAGTTTCTAGTTTCTTCACATAATTTTGGTGTAATTGCACTTTGCACCTCTTGACTTTCACCTAATTCTACTGAGGGCTACTGCACGAACAAGGGCAGAATTGTGTAGGATGCAAGAGGAACCGATCCCTTCCCATTTTTTACAATTTATTATTAATTTTATATTTATACATTTGTAAAGTATATAATTAAGTTTATAAAATTTATTTTACTAATTTCTATTTCATTAATATTTTACAATGTATAATGAAAATGATCTCTAATTATTTCAGGGCAAAATACCAATAAATTCTAAATTAGTAAATGTTAAATCATTTAGTTCTGTGTTTATTTTGTAACACTAACAGATCTCATTTCAATGTTAAAGACGGTAAAGCTCATGCTTTATGAAATACGTGTCTAAAAGAAAGGGGTAAAAATGGGCCAATGTTTGTGTTGAATTTACCGAAGAGGCCAACATCGAAATGGAGCGTCAGGCTAGTGTGAGTGAAAATGGAATGTGATTTCTAAATGGGGATTGTGATTCTGATGTTGAAACGATTCCAAATCCGTGATTACAGAGATTGTTTGTTAAGATTGGTATTGTTGATGTTAAGACCTTATTTAACGTTTGATTGTCGCGTAGAACCCTAATTTGTGGAAAACCTCATTCATAGAAATACGGTGTTGCCATCGTCAGAGTTAGGTCTGATCAGTGTGACGAACAAAAATTGACGTAGAATATGACATATATAGAGCTTTGGCGCCGGTGATCGCTGTGGAAACACATGGCGGCAGGTATGTTATTTACGGTTACTGGTGTGTGCATGTTAGTTGACGTTGTGATATGTTCTAATAGATTTATGACGTGTAACGCTGCGTCGTTTGGTTAATGTTGTTATATGTGGACCAGTCTCATGGTTTGGGTAAACATTGCAGTGATCCTTTTGTCCTGGAATGGCCCAGTTGTGTGTGTTTTCTATGTTGGTGAAGGACCCCTGCTTTTTAAGTGTCTTGGTGATGAGGGTGGAAAAGGGTAGTGATAGATTTTTTATTGGACAATGGCTAGCAGTTTTGGTGGCTTCTGAAAATAAGGTAATGGTCGAAGTGCTGTTGTTTAGATGTCAATGTAAATTTAGTCGAAGTGGTGTCGGAAAAATGTCTATGTTATTTTATTTTTTGATGTTGTAATTGTCAATGTTGAAGGTTAACCAGTGTCTTGGGATGGGTGAACATTGCATTAGTTCTTCACTCCTATTATGGCCTATTTGTGTGTTTTTCTACGTTCACGAGGGACCAATGGTTTGCTGTTTTTTGTATTGTGTGTTTGTTTTGTCAATGTTATTTTAAATTTCATAGTTACTTGAATTACTATGTTAGTTGTACAATAGAGTGGGGTGTGTCGAAGTGGTGAATGTGTTTTTGGGTGACGTGGTAATGGGTGGTTAAAAATGAGTTGGTAGGCATTTTGTTTTGTTTTGTTTTTTGGGTCTATGGCGACTTGTGTGGGTTGGGTTAGAAAAAAAGTTACTAATAAATGTTGTATTGTTATTATGTCAAAGTTAATTTAAAAGTGAATTTACAAGTTCATTGCATTCCAATGTGGGTTGCAAAATTTAAGTTGGGTGTATGAAAGTGGTGTTTTCAATTTTGGGTGGCATGGTAATGAGGTGTGAAAAATGTGTGGGTGGACAGTGGAAATTATTATTTTTTTTTTTTTTTTTTGGGAGTTTGGTCACGTGTGTGGTTAAGGTTTGACAATAAGTGAGTAATGATCAGTGTGTTATTTAATGTTAAATCTTCATTTAAATGTGTAAGTTTCTTGAATTACAATGAGAGGGGAAAGGATGGGTGAAAAATGGTGTGGAGTGTAATGTTATATGTTAAATGTAATGTTGTAAGTTACTCCAGTTTCAGTTGGTGTTTTTGTATTTGTTGCGTGGGGAGACGTTTGTAGCGTTATATGTATTTAGGTATTGCAAATGTTATGGCATGTGTGTTGAAATATAAATGGTTGTTGGTTGTTTAGGTGGTTATATACGTGAATCTTGTGTTGTCTGTTATTGTTGGTTAGTTTTTCTTTTGGTTCTTATTTAGTAATGTTAATGTGGGTGCAGGAAGTGGAAGCTGGCAGTGTGCGACACGCAAGTCAGAATGCAGAACTCCGCAATCATGCACTTTAGTTCAAACTTCAACCCAATTAGCTGCGAAGAGACAATCGAAATTGCCATTCAAGACAAGCAGGACAGGTACGTGTCTTGTCAAAAAAGCTATTGTTGACTCAACAAAGCTAATGCACCGGTCGAACATCGCTGGGGTTATCAAGACCGTGTTAGAGTTTGATTTTGGTGATCGTTATGTGAAGCAATTACAGAAAACCCCGTTTTTGGCTCATGATTGACGCGATCCGAGTGCACATATTGGATCTGAACGCATACAAGAAGTGTGATGCAACAGTGTGCCGTATAATTCAGACATACAACCCTATTGATGAGAAATTTTACATCGGGGTAATAGAGCTACCAATCCGAAATAGCGACATCCGTTTATTGTTTGGGTTGCAATGTGGGAGGGACAAGATAGATTTGGTGCATAGTGGGAAAGAACTGGCAGATTTCATACAACAACGATGCCTTAACGTCAGTCGGATTTCATCCAAAGTAATCAAATATGCACTTGTAGTGGCAATGCGTGGGCGAACGGTGCGAGACGAAGAAGATGTTGTAAAGCTGATGTGCCTGTACATATGTGTGAAATTGTTCTTCGCTACGACGGGTGAGTCCATTGGGTGGGCGTTTGTGCGGGTTATCGATAAGTTGGAGACTTTACGGTTGTATGATTGGACAGCAATGATCCGAAACTCACTAGTTTCTTCGTTGAATGAGGTACATAACAGGCCGGAACGGGTCACCGGGTATGTGGTAGCGTTGCTGGTAAGTTTCTTATTTGAAATCTAAAAATACCAATAAGTTTCAAAACATTGAACATAAGTAGTTGACATTGTTATTGACCATTGATTACTGTTTTCAATTTGTAGTTTTTGCTTTGCGAGCACACGGACATTATAGAGCCGGATAGGCGGAATGTTTCACAACGATTTTGCCGGTGGAACCTTGGAAAAATAATCGAGAAATTGAAAAGCGTTGAATTATCAATGAAGGGTTCTGTAGAGGTATGAGATTCAAGTTCTTGTTGGGCTATGGTATATGTTTGTTTGATTCATACTTAATATATGGTAACGTTGTTTATTTTTCCCAGGTAAATCCTGATAAACTTGTGGAGACTGTCATCGAAAGGTATTTCGTTGAGTTACCGGCTGATGCACAAGGCAGTGTGGAATAAGGAGAAAAAGTGTTGGAAGTGGAACCGGTGAGTACGTGGGATGGGTTGCCTGCTAATGTTACTGATGTTGCTGTGAACGTTACTGAACCGAGTTTGGATTGTTGGCAACCAGATTCACCCATGGTGGTGAGGTTGAATGGACGTCAACAAGGAAGAATGACTAAACTCGTAAACCCCAGCCATATGGTATGAGCAACGAGGGTGGTAATATATTGACAGCTGGGGGATCATAGCCGATGTTGTTCCTTGAAGGGTATGTTTGGTTTGAGTTTGGGAGATGAGTTTTAGAGATAAAAAGTACGAAAAGTTGTTTGGTTTGGTTTTTTTCAAAAGATGTTTTGGAAAATTATTTTGAGAGAGTTTTTGAAAAAGTGATTGATTTGATGTGTATGAGAGAGAGATTTGTTTGAAAAACTCGTAAATCAAACAAGTTTTGGAAAAAAAATTTGGAAAAATTTGTTTGGTTTGATTACTTTTGAAAACTTATTTGTAGAGAATTTTTCCCAAAATTTTTTTGAGAAACATAAACCAAACAAGGCCAATTTACTTGTTTTTGCAATGACGGTGGTATTGATATGGTTGGTTGGCTGTTACCAGATCGGATTGTGCTATCTTCGTCTGCTACATCATTAGGCAGTATATGTATGGTAACGACATTGCCGGCACGATGGAAGGACTAACGCCACTTGAGTTACGCGCAACAATAGTGAAGATGTTCTTAAACGACTCAGTTAGAGGACTCTACGCTATAATACGTTGATGGGCCTGTCTTCACTACCATCCCAGAATAGTGGCATTTGCACATGGATTTTGGTCTTGCATTTTCTTGGTTATTAATTTTTTTGATGGAAGTGTTTGATAGAATTTTTTTTTGGATTGAATTACTTTTGAAGTGTGCTAGTGTTTTTTGGTTTTAGCTTGTCCGCGTACATTTTGCCTTACTTATTGACCACATTGTAGCGACGTGGAATAATTTAGACATTTGATTGGGGTAAAAAATTTTATGAACACAGTTTTGTTAACTTCACTGGAGGTGTGTCACCAAAATGTCATGTCGCACTAATATTGGAGAGTTGCAATTTGTGCAAAGTATATAATGATATCCAATTTTTTTTGATAATTTGTTGAGTGAAATGCCGATTAGTGACGATATTTGTTATGTTGGTACATTTTGTTTCTTATGTTGGTACATTTTGTTCAAAGTGACGTAAGTGTTACATTTGATGCGTAAATGTGATAAATGAATAATTGCTTTCAATTTTTGGCGATGATAATGTTGGCAGTGGGTGTGTTTTCTTTTAATACGTAGGTTGTTTTGTATGGATGCTGTCAAATGATAGAAGTGCATAATTTCATCACATATTTGGCTAGGGAAATGCCGACAGTTGGGGTTTAATTTTGTATGTACACTGGTTATATGATTGTCAGGAAATGAAAT